GTGCATTTTAATTCCTTTAAAACAAACAAATAGCAAAAAAAAAAAAAAAAAAAAAAAAAAAGACGAAAAAAAATAAAATAAAAAAAAAAAATTTTTTTTTTTTGATCGTATTAAATAAAAAGCCGAGCCAGTCAACATATATTGTCTTTACTTTTCATATCTCAATTACTATTTCTTTTCTTCCGACGATTAAAAAAATTATCATTTTCATTAACTACACGTGCTTGGCTTTTTGGTATTAAAGGGAATAAACCATACTCGTATTCTTATGTTTTCATGTTTATTTCATTACAGAATAAATCACATCATCATGAAATACATGTACTGTACCTACATGTAGTATGAAGATTAATTTAGAAGAAAATAAACCATATACGTAACATTCTTCAACAGTGAATCATATACATATTTCAAATGGAATATAAACCATATATCATGCCATTTCATCAATAATATCTAATTATGAAAAAAAATCTTTAATTATGAGGAATGGAAGCCGTGTTTGAGCCTCGACTTGTCAACACGTGTAATATCATTTAAACAGAGAATTTAATTCCGTAAATATATATAATTATCAATATTTGTTCTTTACTTTTATCGAATTCTGAAATAAAAAATTTATCAATTAATTAATTCTTTGACATTGTGTTTCTTTAAATGTTAGTCTTTCGTAAACCCGGTCTTAAATTGTTTATCTCCTAACCATGCTCTTAACCTGTCTTTACGGGTTTGCGTGCATTGAAGCGAGAGATTCACACCTGGCATGCACTAAATAAACAAAAGGAATTGAGTTGTAGATAACCGATTTGTATACATAAGATAAACAAAGCCTTATAATGCGACCAAAGTCATATGTATCAGAAAGAGTATCATCAGGCTATTTATTCATCTATTTTTTAAAATTGCTAAGTACAAAACATTGCGCGACGCACGAAAATAGAATGTCGCTGCGTGATGCTAAAACCTCAAGAAAAACCCCCACTAATTCCATGACTCAATGTGGAATGAAATCTGGACAGAGACTGAACTCATGGCCGGAACCTATATTACAGTAAAATCCGGAACCAATATTATGATTTTAAGGTTCCGGCCGGACTTCCTGAACCAGGGTTGCAAGTTGATGCCTCGATATATCATCAACCTATCCTATAAAATTAAGTCATGTCATCTAGTTGTCCTATTACAAGGTCCTTTTCATTTGAGAGTTTAGTAAACATTCCATATGAAATAATGTCAGAGGTTGCAGGCCAGTAGTTTCCTTTGAGAGTTTAGTAAAATTTTTCTAAATAATCCATGCTATCTATCCTAGAAAATATATTGTCAAATATGTTTCCTTTTGTATAAAATCCATTGTCCCGTAAGAGAGTTATATCCCCTGTGTGGCCATCCCTAGTATGTTCATTTCCAACAGAAAGACATTCCTCTTGTGCCGACTCCTGACTTAATGATATCTGTTATCTCTCATGTTTCCACTGCCATGTCTTTTATTCGGGTTAGTGGTCGTGGTCATTTGTTGTCCTCTTGTCCATCGGTCTGGGCAGTCCTTCATGAGATGATCTGGTGAATTGCAGATGAAGCAAGTCCAAGAGTTATTGCCCTTCCGTGGTTGCATTCTCTGTGCACTTTCCAGTTTCTCTAATCTATTGATTAGTGACTTGATTGTTTCTAAGTTATTTGATTTTTGCTCTCCAGTGGGCTGTTTGACTGCTTGTTCTTGATCCACATGTCTAACATTTATTTTCATTTTATCCCCATCCCCCATTATTGACTCGTATCTCTCAATGACATCTACTGCTTCTGCAACAGTGCTACACTCCTTGTCAATACAACGGCATTTCATTTCCACGGAAATAATTTTGTAAAGGTGGTTCAGGGCCAGTGATTCCTGAGCGTCAAGGTTCAAGTTACTATAAGCTTTTTGTGATAATTGCCGTATATCGTCTCCAGCCTCTGCAATACCTTCTCCAGGCATCCGCCTACGCATTTCCAGTTTTGAAAGCCACCTATTTTTGTGTTTTGAGCTACCAAATCTCTGGTCCATACGCTGAACAAGAATTATGAATGTACGTTTATCTTCAGCTGTTAGGCTCATGTAGAAAGTCCTGGCTTGTTCACGTAAGCTAGCGGCGAAGAAAAGAAGTTTTGTCCTGTCGTCCCAGTGGCTACGTTCAGCGCAGTCTTGAAAGTGAGAAAAGTATTCCTCCCAACTTTCTTTTCCATTGTAGGGTTCGGGTTTGATTATAAGTGTAGAAATGCGATAGTAATCACTATGTGCGTCGTCAGCTAACCGATAATCAGATCGCCGACGGAAATTATGTCCTACTTCGTCGTCGTCGTCACTGTAATTTCTTTCCAAAGGATTTTCATTTGCCATCAAATATTCGTCATCAGTGTTCCTCCCACAGACATCTGTTTCGTCCCCTTGGCCTAACTGAACATTTTCCCTATGTTCATTTATAAATACTTCACGATCCGGCGAAGTAGCATCCTTCATTTTTAACTATAAGAACAGTAACAAGAACATATATACATGTACATCACTATTTAAAAATAGATTTTTTATTCTCCACCACACGACAGTCCGCAATCCACTCTACTTCAGTACTTGACAGGTATTAAATTACGGGTTCGTATCCTAGATGTCCTCGTATATGGCAGGACATCCCACTTCTGACACCAAAAATTGTAAGCTTCCTCAGCACCCTGTCAAATGCCAATCAGCTTACAATGTTTCCATCCCGTGTAAATTCAATAAATTATAAAATTATATTTTTATCAGGACTACTCATGACATCCGTCCACATAAAAAAAAAGGGGGGGGGCATCCTCAGCCCGTCACATGTATTTAAACACCCTAAATAATTTACTTCACATTCCTGTAAATCATAACCAAGTTCCATTTCTCGTTTCAAATATTTCATTTAATAAAGACTTCAATGAAATATAACAAAACAATCAATACATCTATATGAGTCTAAGTCCTAGCTTAACATCTCTGGCCTAATAAAATACAGTGGATTGCGGTGTCCGTGCGGTGGAGAAATTATACGCTACTTAATTTGTATTAGTTTACATTATTTTCTTTTACCTAAGTCACTAGTAATTTACAGTCAGTGATTTTGATGACGTAATATGATCTGATCGTTACGATCTTCGTGTTGAAACTGGCGTTTGCTGCTCATATATATAACCTTCTATAATGGTCACGTGATCACAACAAACCAATGAATAATTGTCCTTTCTGGAGCCTCACAGAACTATTTTACATACATATTGTGTAAAACAAAGAAAATAATGTTGTTGAAAATGTCCTTTCTACATGTAAAGTGGGAGCTATAAATTCTATTCGATATACATAATAAAAAAATTCAACAAACAATCTGTAATAAAACGGACACACACAATCCATGGCGTAGTAATACCGAACAATAATGCAAACACATAAGTATTACGCTACACATTCAAGTTCTAAAACATTTCGTCAAATACAGCATAATTAAATGACAATACTGCAATAAAATAACATTTAAGTATCAATTATGAATATTTGAGGACACGGACAGTGTTATTTCGATCTTATCAATTGTAAAACAACAATGTTTATGTCACATGACTAATTTCTTCGTAAGAAAGATGGCAGGCGCCCAATTTACAACACATGTGATAATGCTGAAATAAGTAAGTAAATTACAGTCGTAATATGGTAGATAATGATGAAAAACTGACATACAACATCTCAGTATCACTGTCCCTTACTGTCTGTTCAACAATATCTCGCTAGATCGTCTAGTAACACAAAAACAGCATTTGTTTACATTAATACAATGTCGAAGTGCAATGTTTATCAATAAATAAAAATAAAGTGAAAATCAATAAAATCTTAATGAAATAACATCAACAATAAAACATTTCTTATAGATTTACAACTGGATTTTCACTTTATTTTTAGTTTATTGATAAAACTGCCGACTCCTGTGGTTTACATTAATACAATGTCGAAGTGCAATGTGTATTGCATCAATAATTCAAGTAAACAATAAGATAATGAAATAACATCAACAATAAAACATTTCTTAGATAGATGTTACATGAATTTACATGTCATTATAAACACTCCACCATCAGCCTGTATATATTAATACACATATTACAAATACCCCCATGCATATTACATTATTATAAGCTTATTTATAACCCTTGTATGACCTTCTTTTCATAAAGCTACTTTTCTAACAGATTTAGCCTGACTTTCATATACATGCAACATAAGGTACACAGAAAAAAGTAATGCATAAAGACATTATTCTCTATACTTGTTTTTAATTTTGGTAAACCATGTTGCTATGGATATTAAAAATTAAAATTTCTAAAAATTCTTTCAAATCACTGCTTCTACATTTTTTAGTCTAATTTTAGTACAACTAATTACTGTATACAGGGTTATTTTTCACCCTTTAGCACTTGTGAACAAGTTTGCCCCATTTTAAATTCATAATGTCATATATTTTTTAAAAAATTATGTTTTGTAATTTGCATTTGCTAAATTTTTTATTGATATCGTAATGGTCTGTGGTGAAAAATAAAAGAAAGAAAATTTTGTTTATAATACAGTACACAAGTACACTAAAATACATAATTTTTTTTATTGGTATTTTTATTTCGATGAATGCTGTAGCCATGGTTAAGATCATTTATTTTCTATTGCTGTTGCCATAGTTTTAAGTCTTAGTGCTACCTTCTTCAACCTTTGTTAATTAATAAAGTAAAAGCCAGTAGAGCTACAGTCTCATCAGAGGCTTTTGGTTTGCCCATGTTATAGAACAAGTTTGGAATGAATAAATTTACTGTATTGGAAAAAAAATATGCCTTTCTGTTCAACTTGATAAAAATTGCTGAAATATTTTGATGTAGCTTAGAGTTCCTTTATTTAGTCTTTATTAGGGATTTTCCTGTTGTAAATTAAAACACCACTACTGCTATATGGATCTTTTCTTTTTCAGCGTTGGTGGATTTTAAAGTGGCATATAATGTTACTGATTCAACTAGTACTGTGGACTCCCAAGATTTCACATCAGTGCCCTCTATCTTTAAGCAAGGTGACAAGCTTAATTTACCATGGACAGATGGTAACAAGTTGGAGGTCACTGTACGTGCTATAGACGTGCTGGGTAAATATTTGGATGAATTGGTCACAGTTTACAGAGATGCATCGCCCCCTCACATTGAAGATTTGTGGCTGACACGTGGAGATAGATTGAATGTCAGCGTTCATAGAATCGAAGACTTTACGGAAATGACGTAAGAATACATCACTAGTAATAAATTGGTTTCAGAAGTAACATTAAGACTGAATTCAGACAAAGTGAAAGTTTCATGTATTTTCCAAAATATTAGATTTATTCAAAATTAATTCAAACAAGTTTTCAGGTCACCTTAGTCACTCAGGTGACCTATTGCTATCCGTTTTATCCGTCTGCAACGTGTGTAGTGTTAACATTTAAATTTTGCTTTCTTCTCTGAAACCAGTTAACCAATTTCAACCAAATTTGGTATAAAGCATTTTGGGTGAATTAACAAAAATTATAAGTTTTATACTGGAAATCTGAGGGGTGGGGCCAAAACCACTAAAATTAATGAAATCTTTGCAAAAATCTTCTTCTCACACACACATATACAGGCAAACTGTTGGCATAAATGTAATGAGCATTGAGTCCTTTACCAAAATTGTGAAATTCATGGCCCCAGGGTCAGGGGTTCTAGTGCTAGGGTGGGGCTATATAGATGATATAGTGAAAATGCATTATTTCAAGGAAAAATATTCTCTGCAAAAAATTGGGTATTAAATAAAAAGTAGGTAAAAATGATGCTACCACCCCCCCCCCCCCCACCACCACCACCCACCCACCCACCACCAAAATTATGGATTTTATGGCCCCAGGGTCAGGGGTTCTGTTGTTAGGGTGGGGCTCTATTGATTATATATTGAAAATGCATTAATTCTGTGAAAACTTCTCTGCTCCTGGGTATTAAATAAAGAAACATAACAATAAATAAAAAATCAAAATTGTGATTTTGCCCAGGTTTTCATATAGGGGTTCTGGTGTTAGGGTGGGGCCATTACATATAGTGAAAATGCATTAATTCTTTGAAAAATCTTCATCTCTGCTCCTGGGTTTTCACACAAAAATACATATTTGAATTAGCAAGAGTACCTTTAACCAAAATTGTGAAAATTTAACGCAGGGCTTCAACACAACATCGTCTGCAACTTCTTTTTCAATAATCTTTTAGTGCCACTTGCACACTTTACTTTTTTTTAATTTCGACACTTTAGTCTGTAAATTTTACACTTTAATCTGTAAATTTTACACTTTAAAGTGTAAATTTTACTGATTAACGTGTAAAATTTACACTTTAAAGTGTAAATTTTACACTTTAATCTGTAAATTTTACACTTTAAAGTGTAAATTTCACACTTTAATCTGTAAATTTTACACTTTAATCTGTAAAGTTTACAGATTAATCTGTAAAATTTACAGATTAATCTGTAAAATTTACACTTTAATCTGTAAATTTTACACTTTAATCTGTAAATTTTACACTTTAATCTGTAAAATTTTCAGATTAAAGTGTAAATTTTACAGATTAAAGTGTAAAATTTACACATTAAAGTGTAAATTTTACAGATTAAAGTGTAAAATTTACACTTTATTTGTTTATTCACATAGTCAATTTAGCATCTTCACACATCCTCAGTAACACATTTTTAAGCCAACAAACCATGTTTTGTGCATGATAAAATTTAATTCTGATGTTTTATATTAAAGTAAAACTTTTCTTTGAATATAAAGTGAAGAGCATATCAAACATACATGCACATATTCCCGATCACAGGTGCTTGAGGACCCCTCCCCCCAATATAGATTCCAGGGCCTGTTAGACTTTTTTCACATAAATAATATATGGATGACACAATTGTGATATAATCTATAAATCCTATCAATTCAGAAAATTTGCTTAAACTAACATTTTATTGGCATACAAATGTGTTACTGAAGATGTGTGAAGATGCTAAATTGACTATGTGAATAAACAAATAAAGTGTAAATTTTACAGATTAAAGTGTATAATTTACAGATTAAAGTGTAAATTTTACAGATTAATGTGTAAAATTTACACTTTAAAGTGTAAAATATACAGATTAAAGTGTAAAATTTACAGATTAAAGTGTAAAATTTACACTTTAAAGTGTAAAATTTACACTTTAATCTGTAAAATTTACACTTTAAAGTGTCAATTTTACAGGTTAATATGTAAAATTTACAGATTAAAGTGTAAAATTTACACTTTAAAGTGTAAAATTTACACTTTAAAGTGTAAAATTTACAGATTAAAAAGTGTCGAAATTAAAAAAAAGTAAAGTGTGCAAGTGGCACTAATACGCTTCCGTACTATTGATTACATAGTGAAAATACATTAAATCTTTGAAAATTTTCTTCTCTGCTCCTGGGTATTAAAAAAACTAACTTAGTATATAGTTAAAGCAGTCTACGCGAAAGTTTAAAATTTTTACAGGACAAAATGTCTGGTAAAAATAAAATTTTTACCAGACCAAACCATTTTTTACCAGACCGACTTTTTCCCCCCTTTAAATCCATACATCATTATGATACTGATATTGAGAGGGTGGGTGGGATGGGGTTAATTCACACTGTGATATTTAACCGTAAATAAATTCAGAGTGAAATAGACAAGTTAAATATTATATAATTTTTCTTTGTAAAAGGTATCTATTTATACAATTGCATGCATTTTTTTCTTTATATTTGACTTATACAACAAACACTGTATCAAAGATTTTATGAAATTTAATATGCACTTTCAATGCATATTTATTTTTTCCTGAAACAATTAATTATGGTTACTCAAGTTCAATGATCATTTGAAAATAATTTCCCAATCGAATCTACATATGAGCTATCTAAATATTTTCCCAACCAAACCTACGTATGAGCTATCTAAAGATCTCTAATCATTGACAGAGGAAATTCGAAATTAGAATAAAAACGATCATGACAGGGTTGTAATACATAAAAATTAATCAGGTATTACTACTAAATTGGTCAAATAAAGGATATTTGTGGGGAATTTGACCATGTGTACCTCTTAATTTAGATTTATTTGGCCTAATTTTTTTATCGGACATTTGGTCCTGTATACTGAAATTTTTTACCGACCCGACCTAAATTTTACCGGTAAAAACCGACGGTCCGGTGACTTTCCATAGACTGTTAAAGTGAGCAAGAGTGCCTCAACTAAATTTGTGAATTTCATGGCCCCTGTGTCAGGGGTTTTGCCAATTGGTGTAACTCGGGGGGGGGGGCTCTTTTGATTATATAGTGAAAATACATTTATGCTTTTAAAATCTTTTCCTTTGCTCCTGGGTATTATGCCAATGATCCAAGTATGTATAGTTATGATGTAAAAAAGTTGCAAAATGGTTAATTTTACACTTTAAAGTGTAAATTTTACAGATTAAAGTGTAAAATTTACAGATTAAAGTGTAAATTTTACAGATTAATGTGTAAAATTTACACTTTAAAGTGTAAAATATACAGATTAAAGTGTAAAATTTACAGATTAAAGTGTAAAATTTACACTTTAAAGTGTAAAATTTACACTTTAATCTGTAAATTTTATACTTTAAAGTGTAAATTTTACAGGTTAATGTGTAAAATTTACAGATTAAAGTGTAAAATTTACACTTTAAAGTGTAAAATTTACACTTTAAAGTGTAAAATTTACAGATTAAAGTGTCGAAATTAAAAAAAAGTAAAGTGTGCAAGTGGCACTAATACGCTTCCGTACTATTGATTACATAGTGAAAATACATTAAATCTTTGAAAATTTTCTTCTCTGCTCCTGGGTATTAAAAAAACTAACTTAGTATATAGTTAAAGTGAGCAAGAGTGCCTCAACTAAATTTGTGAATTTCATGGCCCCTGTGTCAGGGGTTTTGCCAATTGGTGTAAGGGGGGGGGGGCTCTTTTGATTATATAGTGAAAATACATTTATGCTTTTAAAATCTTTTCCTTTGCTCCTGGGTATTATGCCAATGATCCAAGTATGTATATTTATGATGTAAAAAAGTTGCAAAATGGTTAATTCCATGCCCCCTTGGTCAGGGGTATAGGGGCGGGGGAGGGGGGGGTACATAGATTGAAAATAAATCAACACTTTGAAATCTGCTTTTTAGTTACTAATCAACCATTTCATGATAAAATTTCCAAAATTTTGAAATATGTGGCCCCAGGGTCAGTGGTTCGTTTGGGGTGGGTTGCACAACTGGTTTGAAGTGGAAGTCTATTTTCTCTTTGTTACTCTGCTCTACCTCTGGGTATTAAGTAAATAGAGTAAGCATGCTAAGTTTATGATTATGATAAGCAATGGTGCCCCTTTCAAAATTCTGAATTCCATGGCCTCTGGTTTAAAACACGAACCAAATTCAATTGTGGGAAAGTTGTTACATGATCCTTAGGTGACCTATAAGGCCTGTGGGCCTCTTGTTTTTTTAAATTTGTCAACATGTTAATCTATTAGAATCATTGTCAAACTCAGGACTGAGTCTAGAATCACTTTAGTGAACGAGATTTTATTCTATGAACATTTCATAAACATCTTTAAAGGATAGAGTGGATTGCGTATGACCATCACAGTGGACTGAACAACATTGCCTGGAGATTGTTTGATAACGTCACAGGGATAGATGTACTGCATGGGCAGGAGGATATCCCAGCTCAAGGAATGGCCAATGTAAGAAGTGCTTATCTGTTATAGAGCCAATTATAAGGAAATTTACATGTTTAAATAAAGCTTTTAAAAGAAGTAACATCTAGTCAGCATTGTGAACTAGAAACTTATTTCATGTATATATGTAGATACATGTAATGCATGCTCTTTTAGCCAACATTTATTTTTGAATAAGAGACTCCTCATTACT